GCTTTAATTTTAAATCTGTTCAGCTTTTTGTAATTCATGTAGTTTAACACATCAGTTTTTATTTTAGCATTGTCAGTTAAATTAAGTCATCTTAACCATTTGTCCTAGTGAAATTATATCCTAAGGCTAAAATCTAAAGCCATAGATTGATGATTTTTAAGGCTGGCTATATACATTAACAAATATACTTACCCAGAATATCCCACAAAAATCAAGCTTGATTTATACAGATCATCACATTTCTAGGTGCTTTACTGTCCAAATAAGACAAGTTCACATCAAAGAAAGGTAAAACAATTAAACAGGACAGCAGAAATTAAACTTGCAGTTCACAGATTTTTTAAAATGTTCATTTGGAAAGATATAATCTTGCTTCATCCCGTTCTATACTTCCCAAACATTCAATGCTCCTGCTGCAACACACTTTTTCCATAACATGCCAAATAAATTTTTCTTTATGCCTTATTAACACAGGTTCCTTCTCTGTTTGGTACAGTCTCCAATGTTTTGTTTGGTCATTTAGATTCACTTGTGCTTTGGGGCCCAGCTAAAATGTTATACTGTAGGGAAAACCATTACCTCCTTTGCCTTCCCACAGCATTCTGTCTGTAATTTCATTACAGCATGCCATTCACTTTCCTATTACTATTATTTATTTTCACATCCAAATCCATTAGTCTGTTTGCTTTCCAAAGGCAAGGACTGTGTGTATGTCTCTTATGCTGTCTCTCTTTCTGAGAACCTACACAGTGCTCTATTCTGCCAGACGACAAAGGGACACTGATCATTCATCCTCCTTCCAGACTCAAATATTTCTGTATGTTTATATTACTTTTCATAATTCTGTTTGTTTTAACTATTTTTCTCACACTAGCATATAAATTGTGCATGTATTAATGTCTATTAGATTAAATAGCAATTAATGAACATAAAACTAAGAATGTAAAAATCCTTTTGTCATAATTGCATATAAAATCTAAAAATGGATTTCTAGTTAGCTCAGGTGGCTCACTTAGAACTGATAAACACTGCATTATGTGAAAGGATAAATTTAAAAAATTGTTGCTTTAAGAGAACTTTGCAAACATGGTATGATAGGCATTGTTTATAACTGCTAAATTATTCTTTAAGAGATCATTTTAAACACAAAAAACCTTAACTGTTTTTAGAGGACTCTTTTAATTCTCAAACATTGTAACATTTAAAAAATGCCAGACTACCTCATATATGAATGCAATATTACTTAAGAAAAAAAGTCTCTAAAATGTACTCAGTATTGGTTAGAGATCAATATATGTGTGTTTTAGAAAAATCACTGCTTTAACATCTTTCTAGGAAGATTATCTCTACCTAGAAATAACGTTAAATATAACACACTAAATTATAACTTTTTTGTTTCTAAATTGAAAAATTGTTCTCCAAAACTACTTGCAACAGGTGCATAACAAAGATAACATCAAGTGCCTTGTGGGGTATTTCTGTTATAGTATCATCTATCTTAGTCAAAGTGCCCACCAAAACGTCACAAGTAACAAACAGCGTTGATTTTCTTCTCCCAAGCTGAGGTTTCCTAGTCCACAGTAAACGGACACTGCACGATCAGTCTCACCACACATTCTACAACCAGCCCCACCCCACATGTCAAATCTCATGTGAACTGCTCATTCCTCTTTCTCCACTATTAAAGTTTTTAACGTATAAAACAATGATTTTCATTCACTTATATATGAATTAGTAGGATTAACATCTCCTTTATGAGTGGCAGTACCCAGAGCATGCTTAATTGTGAATCTGGCAGGAGCCCATCATTGTTTTTATTTCCTTTCTTAAGAAACCTACCCTGACATCCCAAAGTTAATGATCCTATCTCTACACAGCCTCTTCCAAGCATGCACAGGCAATCTGACATTTAGAGATTTGGTAGAGAACAAAGACAAAATATTGGGAGAGATAAATCCATAAATCTAAAGGGTATGTTTTGTACTGCAAAGTAACATTTCAAAGCATAAATCAACTAAAATGTTTTAGAAAAATATTTAACAATTCAAAGGAGATCACTTAAACCACTATAAATTAGACTGAAAAAGAAAAATATCAAATGGGATTCATATAAAAGTTATGGCCACGTGTATCATTTAACTAAAGCTTACTGATCACACAAATTCATTCAGTTCAGCAATACAGGGGCATTTTAAAGCCCCTTTTACCAGTGCAACTTGATTTTGAAATTTGACCTGTTTTTCTGCTAAGGTTTCAATAATGTAAGACTCTAAGAAACAGAACTTATATTAGAGCTTCAAGATCAGAGCCCTCTCAAAAAATTACAAATCAACCCAACAGTAATTTTTCATTCTATTCTCACTTAGCAAAAAATGACAACGCATTTCATGTATCAACCCTACTTGTAAAGTGTGTGTGGGGTTGGGGTGGGGCTGTGTACATTTCAAAGTTAAAAATCTGGACTAAAGTGTCTTTGCTGCTACCAAAGCAGACCGGGAAAATGAAGTCACATTTACTTATAACAGAAACATTTTACTATGGCTTCTTCACATGTGCTTTCCCTCGATTCTGATTTTGGCTCGTCTCTCGATCTTGTCCTTTCCTCCCAGCTTTGGTCTCGGCCCGTCTTTCCCCTGCACCCTGGACTCTGCGCTTGGTCTCCACCTTCTCTGACTGTCGGCCTGGCCCGTCTCTAACTCTCATCCTCCTCCAGTCCTTCAAATCATCTTCCCAGACAGCCCAGGCTCTGATGAAGAGCACCAGCTGTGCAGACACGCCCAGCAAAAACACAGAGGGATAATTTCATCTCTGCCCCTTGGCATATATTCATTTATCACCAACCTATCTCCAGTCAGATCCTTCTCTGTTCACCTAGCAAAACTTTCCCCACTTTCTTTAGCTTTGTGCCCAGTGGCCCACATGATTCTCAGCAAATGACTGAAATCACACCTCAAAGCAAGATGAGACAATCACAGAGAACTTCCTGCTCACCCTCACTAAGAAATTACTGAGTTCATATTGTTGCCTCCTTCCTTGCAATCTAGAGAAAGAAGGATCCTTCCTTCTACCTAAAACATTCTCTGATATTCTAACTACTATCTCCTCCAGAACAGGATGACATTGGCTCATCATTCATCCTTTCTCATATTTTTCTTCAACTTTTCCTGCTCCATGAATTCAACCCATCATCCCTAAAGTCTCTCCTCATTAAAAAAAAAAAAAAAATTCTCTCCTGATGCTGCACGCCTTCTCCAGTTTCCATCCAATCCCTCTCAAGCTCTATGAAGAATCTCTGGGAAGACTGTAAACTCAGTCACCGCTTTACACCCCCTTTTATTCAAGGCACGGAGTTTTCGCCTCCAGCAGCCACATCGCTCCTTCCTCTTTCCGCTCCCTCCCCATAGTTCTGTCACCCGCTTCCTCACACTCTGCCCTCTGAGTTCATCCCCTAAACATCCAACTGCCCGTGAAATCTCCATCTCAAGTCAGCTAAGCAGTATCTATACTTTTTTCTTTAATCTTAGTATCTATTTTTACCTCAGCTTGGTGATACCAAAATTTACCATATTACTCAGAAACTGGAGGCCATTCCGGAATATTCCACCTCCCCCGCCACTCTTCAGACCACTCTTCAGAGGAAGAACTTCTCTCAACTCTGCGTTATTTTCACTCTTAGGACCGCCCTTTGCTCCAGGCTTTCGCCATCTCCCCTGGATTACTGTCAACTGCTCCTCCTGGCACCCTCTCCCAACTGGTTTCTATGCTCTGGTCTCAATTTCTCAAATCCATTCTCTCTCTTCTGTAATTTAAGTTACTGAAAACAAGCCAGACCACAGTTTCCACTTCCTTGTGTAAAACCATCCACTGGTTCTTTCCCAGACCTTTCTGATTTGAGTTCTAACTCGGCAACCCCATCCTCCTCTTTCCTCCAACCCCCTACATCTCCACAATTAAAAACTAAACAATAATAATTGTTTTAAACTGTCTGAACACAAAACTGTATGGTCTAAGGTAACTTTGTGCGCGCTGTGTTCCTCCGCCTGGAGCAGCCGTCCCTGGACTCTCCTCTCACCTCGAGAGGCGGCCCTGCCATCCCCGTCTGAAGCCTTTCTTTCTGACCAGCCCACAGCGACCTCCAGGCAGAGCTCATCCCTTCCTCACTGGGCCATCCCATGTTCTGTTCCTATTCCTGTTACACCACAACATTCTAGAGCTGACTCTGCTAAAACACTCCAAATTTATCTTTTTCATAATGGTAGCCCTGAATGACTTATCAAGAAATATATCTTACATACTACTTTACTCTGGAATAAAAGCATTTTGAAGGCAAAAGTAGAAAAAAGTTTTTGCATATCTTGAAAGAATAAATCTGGAATCCTTAATCAGGAAAGAATGCTATAATAGTAAAAGGAAAAAAAAATCATCTTAGCAAACAGAAGACAGAAAAAAATGACCCTCTCAAAATTCACAGAGATGAAGACACAGGATCTCAGAGCTTTTGTCAGAATACACAGGAGACACTTACAAAGCCTGGCTCACAACTGCACATTCTTAAATGTCAGTGGCTGTCATCACTAACTTTATTATTATTTTATTAACTAAAGTGACCAGAGTTGGATGGGTGAAAAGCTGTTCTAGGTCATAGGTACTTTTGTTCTCAGTCCTAAAAATTACAGATTCTACCAAAAGTCTCTTGAATTTTTTAAAACAACAACAAAAAAGGCATTTAAGAATGATTTCTTATTATACCAGTAAGTGTGGGTTAAATAATAACCACCTTTTGTTCTTCAAGGGTAACTAATTTATAATGATCCTCTCCCTAATGGAAATCATTATATCACCAAGAAATTCTATTGAAGAGACCAATTTCTTCTTATTAACAAAGTTCCTTTGTCACCGCATATGAAAACAAATGCACCAAATGCTTAAGACACCAAAATTCAAAACAAATCTTTTCTTACAGTTATAAATTCTAAGACAAGTGACACAAGCTGCTTTACCTTCAGGGGCATCTGCATCACATCTCTTCGGCACAGAAAGGGTTGAATTGCCTCTATGGTCATTGAAAGTCATATTGCTCTAAAAAATGAAGATGTAGTTAAAATGTAAATACTTATATATTAACATATATATTTTGATTAAAAAGTGATCACATTACGAACTTCATACTCTGTTTTCTATTAAACCATATCTGGCTAATATTCTAAAATGTAAATTTTATGTAAAATTGCAATTAGAATAAAAAGATTCATGGTAAATTTGACATTAAGGCTTTCCTGCAACAATGTTTAGGCCCTGTGTTAATCAATGGAGCTTCTGCCCAGAGAAAACAGCCCTTGGTTTTCCACTGTGGAACGAGAAAGAGAATAGCGTTTATCCATGCAAAAATGTGATCTCATTTCATCAATTCATAGAAGAATGTTTCATAACATGAACTAGAGAACTAGGTGCAAGGGCTAAGACAAGAAGATAATAAAAGGTAAAAGAAATGAGAAGAATGACTGAGGTGATCTTTTAGCAATTTATTTCCCAAACTTGGGTCATCTGTGTCCCGCTACTGTGATGTGTGTCTTATCTCTGATCCACTTACACTATTGATATTTCTAAATGAACTAACTACTAATTACATGTTAAAGAAAGAATGAAGGATAAAAAAGGAATGATCTGGGCAGAATGCATTAATAATGAAAGACTCCATTAAAGTAAGGCTTGAACTGGGCCCTAAAACACAGATTTGATTTGAACTATTAGAAAGCAGAGCAAGAGATATTTTAGGAAAAGGAAACTAAATAAAGGCCAAATTAGATATCGTCAAAATATTTTAAACTGTCAAAATATTCTAAACTGTCAAAATATTCAAACTAGCTCTCCGGTTACAACTAGGAATCACAGGTGGCTTTTGAAAGATAAGACCAAGGAATCAGTGTATCAGGTATGAGGATCCCCATCAGGATAAGAGAAAGCATAATTACCCACAAATAAAACATTTATAAAGTCTCTCCTAAGGCATTCATGGTACCAGAGCAGACATTTTTTGCTCTTTGCTCACCAAAACGTTTTGGGGAGCCATATTAATAAACTTACTTAAAATATCATTTCAAAGTAAATATTATGAGTTCTAGTAAAGTGCTGAGATAAAGCTCAGCAGTTTGGCAGCATGGGATCCATTTAAGGAACAACTATTATGAAATTCAGTGTTGTTTTTAAAAAGAATTTGTATGAAACAAATGTAAACATGCCCAACAATGGAATGTAAAACTAGTTTTAGCAGCATTAAATTTAATTTGATGAGCTAATATTTTATGCTAGCTTTCACAAATTAGAATTTGGTTTTAAAGATTACTATGTTTAAAATGTCAAAATAATGACTTTTTTTTAAAGTTTGTACTTACCTCTATTAAGTAGTTTTGGCTTCCGTACATAACATACTGGGGAGCAAGACTATAAATCATGTAGCTAGTGTGAAGGACAATAAGCAGAAGTATCATGCAGAGAAATAAGAGCGCCTGGGGCCTGGTTCTACCTCTTCTGATTTTATACAACTGGAAGGAAAAACACAGTGACAATATTTCAGCAATACGTTTTACGTGAAGGCACTGAATCTTGCTCATTTGATAGGATGAATGCAGTTCAATCCACCAATTCTTTTTTCCAAAATAAATACTAAGATTTCTTAATCTTTCCAGATAACTATAAGAATAACAAAGACAATTCTTTCCCTGTAAAGCTTTTAGATTCAGATTCATGTTTATTTTAAAAACTCAAGACCTAGAGAAATATATTAGTATTTTCATGGTTTGTTTCAAAGAATCTTCTAAACTTATTATGTAACAGAATCTGTTAAAATTCAAAGAGCTAAGAATGGTGAACTATGTCTAATTCTATCTACAGGTTAAAAGAGTGAGTTTAAACTGTATTTATAGTTTTCTATATATTATTGCACAAGGACACACATGTCATGTTTTAAATACTCATTTCTATGAAATACTCATGATGTCCTCATATTGTATGTGTGTATATGTGTGTGTGCACGCATGCACGCACATGTACCCACACACATGCTTAGTTGTGTCTGCCAGGCTCCTCAGTCTATGGGATTTCCCAGGCAAGAATACTGCAGTGGACTGCCATTTCCTCCTCCAGGGTATCTTCTTGACCCAGGGATCGAACCTGTGTCTCTTGTGTCTCCTGCATTGGTAGGCAGATTCTTTTATCAACTGCGTCATCTGGGAAACCCATCCTCATGTAAAACTAGTTTATCATCTAGTTTATGGTAATTTATGATCATCTGACTATAGCTGTTTTCATGTGCATCCTGTATGGATGGATGGAAATTGAAATATGTGGGAGCAGATACAAGAAGCCTGGTGACAGGCCTCTCATTTCAAAGGCAGAGCACACTTTAGCAACTGAGACAGCACCTCCCTGTTTTATTACTCGATTGAATATAATAGTACAATATAGAACAATAGGACTCTAATTCTGGATGGGATATGATCACCTAAAAATGCACATTTCCTGGCCTCCCTATGCCCAGTAGTGGTTGGCAGTGATGAAACATCACACATCAGAAAGAAAGCAGTCTGTGGGAGATTTCTGGGAAAGTCACGCCTTCTGTCAGCCCTTCTCCTAGCTGCCGCTTCCTCACAGAACACAGGATAAATAGAGCTGAAGGAGCCATATCTCAACCATGAGGGAGAAGTCAAGAGGAATAAATACAGAGATATTAGATTTGATGTTTTTGAGTTACTGAAGCAATGCTAGATTTAAAAAATTTTCCACAGCAGGAAGTCTTTCATTAGTTCAAGCCACTAGTTAATTGCATTTTACACACAGCTGGAAGTATGAAGTGATATATCTCATTTTAATACCAAAACAAGAAGAAAATAACCCTTTCTCCAATGGCACAGGAATCTTTCACTCCCAGTGGCAGGGCCATCTTTCAAACTATAGTGTATCCAGTTATGCTGCAATGCAGTTGCGCTACAGCCAAACACAGGGAAAATAACAGAACTTCTAAACCACGGCTTCTCAGCCTCAGCACCACCGACATTCGGGCTGGATAAGTAAGTCTTTGTTGCGGGGCTGCCTGTGCAATACAGGACGCTGACCTGATTCCCTGGTCTCCACCCAGCAGTGGACACCAGCAGTGCTTCCTAGTTGTGACAACTGAAAACATCTGCAGACCTTGCCAAATACACCAGGAGGGCAAAACTGCCCCATTTAAGAACTGCTGCTTGAGACAAAGGGGCTTCCCAGGTGACTCAGCAGTAAAGAATCCACCTGCCAGTGCAGGAGATGCAGGTTCGATCCTTGGGTCAGGAAGATCCCCTGAAAGAGGAAATGGCAGCCCACTCCAGTACTCATGCTGGGATAATCCCACAGAAGGAGGAGACTTGCGGGCTACAGTACATGAAGTTACAAAGAGCTGAACACAACTGAGCATGCACGCTCTGGACAAAGAGCGCTTTTATGTTAACATGAAGTGAAAAGGCTATGACTTCCAGCATTTTGGTATCAAGATATTTATAACTTCTGTATTATAAACCTAAGATAATTTGCAATAATGGAGGTTATATACAAAATGATAGAAAAAATTAAAAACTATTATAACATATACTCACTCTAATCCAAAAGAACCATATGCCAATATTTCGAATCCCCGCCATTGAAGTAAAAATAAAGTACATAATAATAATTGTTATAAGAATATAATCAAGAGGGAATACCTGAAAAAAATAAAAGTAAACTTAATACACAAACAATAAGGGCTCCAGGAGTCATGCGTTGAATACAATTAAGTGAAACTTCATTATGCATATTTGGCAATGTTTAAAATATCAAACCCTGATCAGGCTACTATGATAATATAAATAAATAAATAAATAACCTCTAAGAAGCAAACTACCAAACTACTACCAAATTGTTCAATATTATTATCCTAACAAAAACCCTATAATAAACTAAAAACTACATTTATATATGGAATAAAAGACTTTATTAAAAGGCAAAATCAGAAAATGCTTGAAAAAGTGCACCTTAAGTTTAAATGTATCCCCAATTCAAATAATATATAACTTAAAGATTCAGTAATACACCAATACAATAATTTTTAGAACATATCAACGTAGAAGTTATATATAAATAAAAAGCCAAATCAACAGAGAGCCCAAGCATATATTGCCAACCATTAACAGGTTTGTCAACATAATAATTTGACAGTGTGTTTGCTAAAGTATAAAATGATTTTTTTTTTTTTTACTTACAGTTTGTAGTAAAGGCAAAAGCATATTCAGTGGGTTACTCAGGTTAGCTCCAAAAATTATGAAACCAGAATCTATTCCAGCTGAATGAAGAGCTTTATCCAAGCTATAACAAAGTATATAGTGAATTTACATATTATACCATCACATTTTCAGTTAATTCAGAAAGAATAACATCACAACTTAAGCATGTACATTCAAATGAGTCCAAGAAAACCACGAATAACAAATCAAACATCACTTAAATATCTTACAGATATTGTTCAATTGATATAAACCAAAGAATACTGTCTATTATTGGGTCTTTTTAGTCATTCTTTGAGTTAATGCTGTAGAACAGTTCAAGTAAAATAGCTACTTAAGATGAATAGGCTACATTAATGGAATTCAGCATGGAAAATGTATAGTATCACAGGAAATATGTAAGTGCTTTAGAAAATGTGTCTACTGTACTTACTTTGACAGGAAGAGAGAAATTACAAACAGCAATGCAACAAAGATGAAAAATATTCCCCAAATGATCTAAAAGCAAAAAAAAAAAAAATCATTAAAATATACTTGTAAAAGTTGATATTAAAAGTACAAAACCATTATGCTCCATATGAGTCGGTACCATGTGAAAATGATCTAAAAAATGACCTAAAAATACATTTTAGTCTATAATCCTAGGCATATGCCACTAAATTTTCATTATGAGACTATCTGAGAACAAATACACAGAAGAGAAAAAGCATTTAAAGTCTTCATTGGTAAATAAACAAATGAGACTCTTTGCTAGGTCAAATAAAAGTTCATGTTGACTTATATTCAAATACAAGAAGATAACTGAAAACTATATTAAGACTAGTACACATAGACAGAAAACCAAAACCAAGAAACTCATCAGGACCTGTTGTTAAAGAACTTGTAACATTTTCTCACAGAAGTAATGAGATACACAGTTGACTCTTGGACAACCCTCTACATAGTCAAAAACCTGTGTAGAGCTCATTGTCAGCCCTCTGCACACGCAGTTCCTCCATATCCACACAGTCCCCCAACTGTGGATGACAGAATGCCGTATCATGGGCTACAGAAAAGTAACCCTGTGTAAGTGGACCTGAGCAATTCAAACCACGTTGTTCATGGGTCAACAGCTTATATCTTATAAATAAATTATACCACAGCTTTAGAAAAATCTATATTGCTGGTAATATTTTTGAAATAGAGTATAACAGCACTGAGGAAAATGTCACTAACTCTGTGGAAAAATGTGCTAAGTACTGTAATCAATGGAATATACTTCCTCATACTCTAAGTATGAACTTGACAGTGTGAATGGGTATGTATGAGACATGAAGAATATGTATGAGCTGTATACAAAGAAAACAATGGAACTGTGTCCCTAAGGAATAAAATTGCAGAATAAAAATGATGAAATCTATGTTTGGGACTCTCAAGATTCCCTTGGACTGCAAGGAGATCCAACCAGTCCATCTTAAAGGAAATCAGTCCTGAATATTCACTGGAAGGACTGATGTTGGAGCTGAAACTCCAAAACTTTGGCCACGTGATAGGAAGAACTGACTTATTGGAAAAGACCCTGATGCTGGGAAAGATTGGAGGCAGGAGGAAAAGGGGACAACAGAGGATGAGATGGTTGGATGGCATCACCAACTCAATGGACATGAGTTTGAGTAAGCTCCGGGAGTTGGTGATAGACAGGGAGGCCTGGCATGCTGCAGTCCGTGGGGTCACAAAGAGTTGGACACGACTGAGCAACTGAACTGAACTGAACTATTTTGGCTTTTCCTTTGCCTGGAATTAACAGAAATAGATGGAAAACATTATGAATGTTAGGGAGATTTTTCATCTTATTTCACATGATCATTGAAGAATATTTTAGAATTCTGATAATAAAAAAAAAGTAGAATAACAACACATTATCCTACCCAGCATAGAAAGATAAATCTGGAAATAAATCTTAGGGTTGTGTTCTAGGGAATTCTTTGGTTCTGAAAGAGTACCTTTAGAGCTTACTGGAAGCAGCTTGGCAAGAGGACCAAAAAGGCTATAGCCATCATTCAAAATATGCTGCATATATCCATTTTACATACTGGGATTTCACATGAGCATTTATTCTAAAATGTTTCATTGTAAGTTTGAAGTGACTCCTTTATAGTAACAGAAGATTATTAGTAGCAAAAATAAAGGAGTATACACAATCTTTTTCTACCAGGTTTGAGCACTGTATTTGATACCCAGGAGAACTGAAGCCAACATCCATACACTGAGGAAACATACTGCTTCTCAGCAGCCTGTTGATAGCAAATAGCTTGTAGCAGGAGGTAGTACTAGCACCAACTGCCAGCGAGCAGCAAAGCAACAGACAGAGAGCGGGAGAAATCAGCATGCCCTGCCTGGACCCCACTGTGGAGAAGGGAAAGAGAAGAAAACCCTTCACTACATTCCCAAGCAGCTGAGATGAATGAATCAGAGTTAAGACTGTTTAACCATAGCTACTTAACAAAACAAAGAAAAATATTGAAAAGATAAATGTTTTATAAAGACCAAGGACACTATATATATTTAAATATAAGGACTTAAGTTAGTAGTACTTACAGGGTCAAGTCAGTGGTGACCACCTTGGGTTGACCTAAATGCTACATATTCCACACTAGCTATGATATCAATTTTGAAAAAACAATTAAGCCAGAGAGATGACACCAGTAAAAGTAACAGAGTAGGAATCTCTGAAAATCCTTTCCTCTTAAAAAGCAATTTAAAAACCGGCATAAATTGTCAGAATCAACTTTTTCAACACTGAAAATGAACCAGAAGCATTCAACAATCCAGGAGCATTTATTTAAGGAAAACAGCTGACTCTTGGTAATGGCACAGAACACTGGCATTCAGATTTGCTCCAGTACCAACCCTTCCTCTCTGTAAGCTGGGCAGCCACCTGAGAAAGCAGAATTGGCTGGGGCACTTTTGGTCTCCTTCCCAGAGAACTGCCGTTACCTGACCTGCCTGGTAGGTACATGGAAGATCCCACTTGCAAGACTGTGTTTGGCCTGAAATGGAGCTCATACAGTGCAAGAATTCCTTTTTCCCAGGAAGCACTGAACTTCACGGCCATAAGAGCTAGTCAGTATCAGGCAAAAAATAAACTGACCAAAGATTAAAATGGAAACGTAAGGAATGAGATGTCCACAGGGGCTCTGAAAAGTTACTATATATTCCCGGGAATGAAGAAGGCCCTGTGCATGCTCAAAAGATAGGAGAGACCTAAGTGCTAACTCTGGTCGACCCTGAGGTTCTGTCTGCATGAGCAAGAAGTGTGGGCTAAGGTAGCGGTGTAAGTGCATCCCCTGAGTGCTGAAGTCACGTCTGCACTCACATATTGGCCCCTCAGCAAGACTGGGAGACTTACGGATTCTAGGTGTTTAAGAAAATCTGTGTCAATAATTAACTAAACCAACCAGGCAGAGACTCCAGTAACTGCAACAACAAAGAAGACAGACTTCACAGCATGCACAAGTCACTACACAAACAACGAAAGGTAATAACAGCAGATCCAGGGAGAATCTAATCTCCAGAGCTGCTGCATCATGCGACTTAAAATCGCCCAGGTTTTAACTAAAAACAATAAACAGAAGAGACATGCAAAGCAGCAAGAGAGTATGGCTAATACAGAGAAGGAAAAATAATCAATAGGCACTGTACTTGAGGAAGTCCTTGAGGACGTTGAACTTACAAGACAAAAACTTTAAAGCCACTATTTTAAATATGTGTGGCTCAGATCATGAACTCCTTATTGCCAAATTCAGACTTACATTAAAGAAAGTAGGGAAAACCACTAGACCATTCAGGTATGACCTAAATCAAATCCCTAACGATTATACAGTGGAAGTGACAAATAGATTTAAGGGACTAGATCTGATAGAGTGCCTGATGAACTATGGATGGAGGTTCATGACATTGTACAGAGACAGGGAGCATGGCCATCGCTAAGAAAAAGAAATGCAAAAAAGCAAAATGGCTGTCTGAAGAGGCCTTACACATAGCTGTGAAAAGAAGAGAAGCAAAAATCAAAGGAGAAAAGGAAAGATATACCCATTTGAATGCAGAGTTCCAAAGAATATCAAGGAGAGACAAGAAAGCTTTCCTCAGTGATCAGTGGAAAGAAACAGAGGAAAACAACAGAATGGGAAAGACTAGAGATCTCTTCAAGAAAATTAGAGATATCAAGGGAACATTTCATGCAAAGATGAGCTCAATAAAGGACAGAAATGGTACAGACCTAACAGAAGCAGAAGATATTAAGAAGAGGTGGCAAGAATACACAGAAGAACTGTACAAAAAAAAGATCTTCACGACCCAGATAATCATGATGCTATGATCACTCACCTAGAGCCAGACATCCTGGAATGTGAAGTCAAGTGGGCCTTAGGAAGCATCACTATGAACAAAGCTAGTGGAGGTGATGGAATTCCAGTTGAGCTATGTCAAATGCTAAAAGATAATGCTGTGAAAAATACTGCACTCAATATGCCAGCAAATTCAGAAAACTCAGCAGTGGCCACAGGACTGGAAAAGGTCAGTTTTCATCCAATCCCAAAGAAAGGCAATGCCAAAGAATGCTCAAACTACCGCACAATTGCACTCATCTCATGAACTAGTGGAGAAGGCAATGGCAACCCACTCCAGTACTCTTGCCTCAAAAATCGCATGGACAGAGAAACCTGGTAGGCTGCAGTCCATGGGGTCGCTAGGAGTCGGACACAACTGAGCGACTTCACTTTCACTTTTCACTTTCATACATTGGAGAAGGAAATGGCAACCCACTCCAGTATTCTTGCCTGGAGAATTCCAGGGACGGTGGAGCTTGGTGGGCTGCCATCTATGGGGTCGCACAGAGTCAGACACGACTGAAGCGACTTGCCAGCAGCACACATTAGTAAAGTAATGCTCAAAATTCGCCAAGCCAGGTTTCAACAATATATGAACCAAGAACTTCCAGATGTTCAAGCTGGTTTTAGAAAAGGTAGAGGAACCAGAGATCAAATTGCCAACATCCACTGGATCATTGAAAAAGCAAGAGAGTTCCAGAAAAACATCTATTTCTGCTTTATTGACTATGCCAAAGCCTTTGACTGTGTGGATCACAATAACTGTGGCAAATTCTGAAAGAGATGGGAATACCAGACCACCTGACCTGCCTCTTGAGAAACCTGTATGCAGGTCAAGGAGCAACAGTTGGAACTGGACATGGAACAACGGACTGTTTTCAAACAGGAAAAGGAGTACATCAAGCCTGTATATTGTCACCCTGCTTATTTAACTTATATGCAGAGTACAACATGAGAAACACTGGGCTGGATGAAGCACAAGCTGGAAACAAGATTGCCGGGAGAAATATCAGTAACCTCAGATATGCAGATGACACCACCCTTATGGCAGAAATTGAAGAGGAACTAAAAAGCCTCTTGATAAAAGTGAAAGAAGAGAGTGAAAAAGTTGGCTTAGAACTCAACATTCAG